GTGGAATGTTGATCTGCTAGAGGGCAGGAAGGCTCTGCAGAGGGATCTGGACAGGCTGGATTGATGGGCCAAGGCCAGCTGTAAGAGGTTCAACAAGGCCAAGTATTGGGTCCTGCCCTTGGCTCCCAACGACCCTCTGCAGTGCCACAAGCTGGAGGAAAAGTGGCTGGAAAGCTCACCAGCAGAAAAGGACCTGGGATTAAAATTTCTTCACCAAAAGCATTTGTCAAGTATTGGAACAGGCTGCCCAAGGAAATGGTTGAGTTACCATCCCTGGAGGAAAGACATGTAGATGTGGAACTAAGGGACATGGTTTAGTGGTAGACTTGCAGTGCTGGGTTAAGAGTTGGACTCAACAATCTTCAAGGTCTTTTCCAACCTTAATGATTCTGTGATTCCAAGTTATGTATCTTTATTTATTCTGGTCACTAATGGTGTCCCCCAAGGATCAGTGTTGGGCCCAGTCCTGTTTAACCTCTTTATTGATGATCTGGATGAGGGGATTGAGTCTATCATCAGCAAATTTGCAGATGTCATTAAACTAAGGGGGAGTGTTGATCAGCTGGAAGGCAGGAGGGCTCTGCAGAGGGACCTGGACAGACTGGAAAGTTGAGCTGATTCCAACGGGATGAGGTTCAACAAGGCCAAGTGCCGGGTCCTCTGCTTTGGCCACAACAACCCCTTGCAGCGCTACAGGCTGGGCACAGAGTGGCTGGAGAGCAGCCAGGCAGAAAGGAACCTGGGAGTTTGGATTGACAGGAAGCTGAACATGAGCCAGCAGTGTGCCCAGGTGGCCAAGAAGGCCAATGGCATCCTGGCCTGGATCAGGAACAGTGTGGCCAGCAGGACCAGGGAAGTGATTCTTCCCCTGTACTCAGTGCTGGTGAGGCCACACCTGGAGTGCTGTGTCCAGTTCTGGGCCCCTCAGTTCAGGAAGGATATTGAGGTGCTGGAGCAGGTCCGGAAAAGAGCAGTGAGGCTGAGGAAGGGACTGGAGCACAGGCCCCATGAGGAGAGGCTGAGGAAGCTGGGACTGTTCAGCCTGGAGAAGGGGAAGCTCAGGACAGACCTCATCACTCTGCAACTCCCTGAAAGGAGGTTGTAGCCAGGTGGGGCTTGGTCTCTTCCCCCAGGCAACCAGCTGTAGGACAAGAGGGCATGGTCTTAAGCTGAGCCAGGGGAGGTTAAGGTTAGACATAAGGAAGAAGTTCTTTACAGAGAGACTGGAGATTGGAATGGGCTGCCCAGGGCGGTGGTTCACTCACCATCCCTGGAGGTATTTAAGAAGAGACTGGATGTGGCACTTAGTGCCAATGGTCTAATAGACAAGGTGGTGTTGAGTCAAAGGCTCGACTCAATGATCTCAGAGGTCTTTTACAACCTAGCTGATTCTGTATCTCTTTTTGGTTAGCTTAACAATTTTTGCAGTAATTATGCTCTAAGCATTTGAACAAAGTAACTGCGAGAAATGAATGCTTCTCTTTTCAAAAACTGCCTTAAAAAACCCCCACATAGTAGTTCCATGCACTTTAAAATGCTCAGTAAGAGATCCTGCAAGATTAAAAGCTCAATCAAAAGGGATTGAATCTAATTACAATTATAGAATTAAAAGATTTTTCTTCCTAATACTTCTTATCTCTGTAAAGCTCTATCTCTGTAAAATTTCATGGACTGAAGAAGCACTCTTATCTGTTGCAGAAACTAAGCCCTTCCATAAGGAATACTGTGTTCCAAAGAATTACAGCCTGTGCTGGTTTACAAGTAAACGGGTGGGAAAAATGAACCCAACTCAAGAGTGATTACAAGTCAGAGTTACAATTTACTAAAAAAGATTCCAATAAATCCAGTGATACAGAGAAAAACTGGTTTTCACCCCCAACAAACAGATATATAACCCAGCACCCTGGGACAAGAACAGAACGGTGTTCCACAGCCCCTGTGCTGAGCACCACGTGGCCCCCTGGGTGCAAAGTAAAAGGAAAGGAAAACCTGTTGGTCTGGATGATGATCACAGTTGGGTTGAAGTTCTGGTCCTCCTCTGGATCCGAGGAGTGGTACCAGAAGTCCCAAAACCCAAAGTTTATATATGCCCAGGTTCAAGTGGGAATGCCCAGTACCTCCCCCAGGGCAGGGAGTTTCACGATGGGTGATTTAACTCTGTGAGTCCTGGGATACTTTTGGAGTCTTTAATGGTCTAGGTCGTTGCAGCTGCCTATTATGCCAGTCCAGTATGGCCCATTAGCAGACATGACCCCTCAGGCTGGGTGTGAAGGTGCTAATGCCTCCCCTGCGGGTACTTATCACAGTTATTAGTGTGAAAACAAAAGAAACACTCCTCACGGGTTTCTTTAACACCCAGCTTGTAGCCTGAGGTGTCAGGTGTGCCCTGGGCAGCTGCTGCAAATGATCCATTATTAACAGTCCATCAGAAATGACAAATGACACAGAGGTTATACCCACATAGTGATAAACTGGTCCCCGTCCCTGTAACTAGAACATAGCCATAACAATGAACTGATCAATTCAGAGTTTTCCTCTGTTTAGGAAAACTACCCCTTTGATTAAAGAATCGCTGAAAAATTACATCTCAAATGATTTAAGATTTCAAAAGATGAGAACATTGGGATAGGCTCAGAATTGGACAGGGAACACACAGAGGGCAGAAAGCGCTGCCAGTGGTGTTACTGGCCTGCCCAGTAACATAGACCTGAGGCTTTTCTGTGGCCACTAGATGTGGGACCTGAAGCATGCATCCCTAAAAACTGGAACTTATCAACTGCAACCTCATGCTGCAGGCATTCAACAATCACTTGTCCCCAGTAATCTACTAACTAGAAAGACAATATACACACAAACTCTGGAAGATAACTGTATTTTCTCTAGAATGTTATTTCACCCTTTTGCTTATTCCACAGAAACTGGTTTTCAGTTTTCTTTGTACGAAATAGGAACTCAAACACAGATAATGGAATTACATGGACTGCAGAAAAGAAAAACAACAATCGAGGATGAGCATAGGTCTAGGAGAGAAACCATTACTTTTGATCATTTGAAGACAGGAAAATACTTTTTTATAACCTACCTGTGTATCTAGGAACTACGTCTTCCATTTATGAGGAATGAAAACAGCCTGAAATCTATTTCAAATGAAGCATCTCTTTACAGAAATTAACTGTCCATACTTTCCATTCATCCCACCTTCCCAAGAACATTTCAAGGAATTTGAAGCTCCTATGTTGAACTTGAACATTTTTTTCTCCATTCATAATAATGACAATATTCATCTGCCTCAAGTCTGAGTTGTAGTACTTGTTTCTTGTTGCACTACTCCATTCTATGTTGCAGCTCTAGACCAATCCACTTTTAATGCTTCTCTCTGTATTCCTTTCTAAAATATTTTGATCACATTCCCAGTCCTGATGAGGTGTTCTACATGCATAAACTACATTTCACTTTTTTTTATTTCAGCTAGATAGAAAGAAGAAAAAAAGGAAACTATAAATAAGTATATGACAGATATTCTTAAAGTCTGATGATCGGTGAAATTAAAGAGCTTTACAGTTATCAGGAAGAAAACTCAGAGTAAACAAGGTAGACTTAGAAAAGAATGATTTGCTACATAGAAAAGAATGATTTGCTACGGTTGTTGCATTGCAAAAAGCAATTGCATTTGGAACTACTTCTATTCTTGAAAGTACTCTATGACTGGGAGCTCTCTTGCATTCCATGCAGGCAGCTACAGAATAAACCCTTTTCAAGAATCTGAAATGGAAGTGGTTGTTCATTTTTTTTTATGTTTCTTACTTTTCTAAAGCCATCCAGGTGAGAACTACTTTCACTGGTAACCTCCCTAACTCTATATGCAGCCATTCTAAGATGTATAGGAGTGTCACAATAATGTCAATGGCATATCAACTTCAAAAACTGGTAATTGTTCAAATGTCAACATCAGATGAGATTTTCAAAGGTGCTTAGGCAATCAAGCAATCTCATGATTCAAAAAGGGACCACTGAAAACCCAAGGCAATGTCTTCTTTACTGCTGAGCACCTTAACAGAAACATCAAAACGAAGTGTCTATTCAACAATTCCAAATTTCCTATCACAAAGCCAAACCTACCCTAAAGTCTACCTTACTCTCCTCTTATCTTAGAGATCAATACAGTTAACATTATTTCTGTACCTGTGCTAGCAATACTTCTGTGAGTTAGGGAAATGCTGTTATTTCCATTTTACATATCACGTCAATCCAGGCTGAGCAGGATATGAGAGGTGTATGTCAGCCCTCAGTGACATAACCATACAAATGTAACTTGTGAATGAAAAATATCTGTGACTTGTCCAGAACTTAAAAGTGTGATTTCAGTATATGTTCTTTTTAACAGCAAAATAAGCACTGATTGTATTATTCACATAGAGAAAGGATCCTCTGTTTTTTAATTTACATGAAGCAATTACAGTTTTTGACCTGCCACACTACAACATGCGGACTCAAGGAAGCTTCAGAGCTGCTCCTTGTTGAACATTATACGAAGTCTCAAAATTAGCCATTCAAAATACTACTTACACATGAGAAAGACCCAGAAACAAGGCAATTGAGGGGTACAGAACAAACACTACTTTCCTTATATCGAAGAAACAGGAAGCTTTTGTACCATAATAAATGTAAGATGTCCACAAGTACAACACAAATGTTAGAGGCGTAGTATGCTATACAGCATACACACACCAGCCAGCAAGAAAGTCTTATCCAAACAAACAAATTCTGCTGCCTTAGTCCAAAAGATAACTTTTTGTCATACTAAAAATGCCCAGTTTTCAAGACATGTTAATTTCAGAAGGAAAAAGTCCTTTCTTACCTTACCTTCAATTATTTTTGCTCTAAATAGTTAAAGCATATATATAATCTGGAAACCAGCATCAAAGCAATCCTGTACAAATCTCTAATTTATTAATAAAACAGGGAAAACTGAAAGGCATTTAACAGGTGGCTCTCCTTACCTTCAGCACAGCAATGAATGGTACAAAATTAGCTCTCTGAAGACCATTTTTATAGAGATCTGAAAGAAAGAAAATCAGTACCATTTTGCTACTTAGTCTTAATAACAATGTCAGCTTGTCTACTAATCTAGCAAACAAAACTCAGTGTTGCTAGAGACAGGAGGAGGAACAAAAGGCAGAAAAGGAGAGCTGAAATTGATTTCTCTTCTTTTACTGTATGAAAATTCAATACATTCTTAAGGAAGAAGGGAACACCCTGAGGAAGTTTGAAAAGGGCAGGGAATGAAAAAACTATTTAGATCTCTAATGACATAAAACTGATTCTAACAGAAGAAATTAGACTATCATTTGTTTTAAAGTAAGGTTATAAAAATCACTTGTAATGCTGGGTATACATTGGTATGATTATAAGGCCAAACTGTGCAACTGTTAAATCCTGTGTATTTGGCAGAGGGCAAAACCCCCACATAAACTAAAAATACACAATTTGAGTTTACAAAGTCAGCATCATTCTTTTTCAGTGTACTGTGGTACACTTTATCTTCTAGCAATTCTGCCAGGTACACCCCCTTTTCCAAAGCAAGAAAAAGGGTCATCCCTAAGGCTAAAAAAATGAAAATTAAATTATTATGTTAACTTAGGTAAAGTTGCTAAAAATACAACCTAAATTTTAAAAAAATGAGATGTTACGTAACAAAATGCAGATCTGTACTCAAAGAAAACACAAATTAACAAAAACAACTGCAAAGCAGCATTTTTGTCTTATTTATCACCATATATTTATACAACATAAACTTATCTTCTCTGGAAGTTATCCAACTGCCCAAGAAGTTCACAAGAGAATGACTTCTTTCAAAATGTAACCACTTAAACTGTATGATGAGCTGCTCTGTTTCATGAATATTAGGAAGCCTTACAAAAAGGCAGTGAAGCACCTGTAACTGATGGGAGGAATGAGCAAGATAATGCAGACACCTGGTAGAGATATCACAAGAACTCCACACAAAGACCATTCCAGGTTATGATTATGACTTATATTCCCCATAATGCTTGAAGGTTATAGCTATGCTAAAGCTTTTATGCTTTGCCAACACCTCATGGTGGACAGACGATGCAGCATGCATGACACACCAACACGACACCTACAGAATGGTTTTCACAAAATTGGATATGTACATAGAAATATTTAGGAAAACTATCAGTGAAGGAGATTCCACATCCTAATTACTAACAAAGCTGTAGGAAGCCATGTATCATGCTCATTCACAACTCTGTAAATCAGGATGGCTATACATTTGTTAAAAGTGTAAAGCAATTGCATATTCACTTGCAAAGATTAGTGAACATGTAACAACACTATTAGACAGCTATTCCTGTTAGGTCTTTTAATTAGTAGGGTTGTGAGTTCTGTATTATGTCTCTGTTTTGTGAGGATGAGAAAATAAACAGTAATTTTGGTGGAGAAATGAAGTCAGGATTCCTCAAATACTGCACCTGAGTATTTCCCCTCATATCCCCCTAGGGCAGAAGTTCAACACAGTTAAGCGTAGCACTAATGTTCAGCAGCTCCATACATCTGCTCTCTAATGAAAAAGTCACTTTTCCTCTTTGTATCAACAGGAAACAAATCTCTCCATTCTTAAACCTTGATGTAGCATACTACAGTAACTCAACTCTCTTTCCTGTGGGAGGATTTTAGACGTGCCTTGAGCATGCAGGAATAGTGACAAGGGAAGAGACAGGCATTGACCAACACCTGGACTGCAACATAGTTCAGTTCTGGAGATGCTGTTCTTGACATTCTCTGTTGGGCAGCTAGAACAAGTGCATGGCTTTTGGATTGATAAAGTGACTTAATATGCATTAAAAAACCCCATAAGACGATAATGGGTCACAAACTGATACCTCGATTTAAGATGTTGGACACAATTCCCAAGTTATGATAAAAATTTCTCCTGAACTTCAAAGAGCAGTGCTCCAAAAACACAAGGATGGCTCTCAACTGAGTAAGGCATCCAGTTTATCTGTAGTTAACCCAGCTACAGTAGTTATTATTTCGTCTTCTTTGCTCAAACAAGTAAAATAAGCCAAGAGGGAATTATTAAACCCTGTAGTAAAAACCTAAAAAACTTTGGGTGGATTTGTTTTTCTTTTTTTTTTTTCCCTAAGATAAGGTGCATTGTAAATCTATAGTGATTGTCTTTTACTTAATTAATTTGGGTAGAAAAATTAACTGGTAGTTACAGTTAATACTGTAACTCTTCAGTAGTTTTTGCAAACATTCAAAATTAATCAGTCTAAAAGTTGCATAGAAATTATGCATTATGCTAACTGCTAATGCTACACTATACAAATATCTTTCTGCTCTACAAAAAATTACAGTTGTTAAAACCCAAACAGATTTGGGCACTTTGTAGAATATTTACCTAGCTAGTCGCTACCAGTGACTAGTTATTCTAAAAAAAGTTAGAAATGGAAACAACTAGTGAACTCAAACTGGGCTTTAAGAATGGCATCCCGATAAGGGGTTCTGCTTTGAGCTGGTGGATCAAGTCTGCAAGTTCCTGAGTTAGAAACTGGGAAGGATCGTACTCCCATTTCCCGTCTCTTCTGCAGAACATGGTCTTTTCCTATTCTACATCTAAAATAGGCAGTATTTTACCCCTCCTCAACATCCCTGTTCCCAAATACCCTTCCACTGGTTTGGACAGAGTAGAGGAGATCAGAAAACATTTGGGAGTGATAGGGGAAGGAACCCTGAGTTTGAGAGAAAAGAGGAGTATGATTTAGTAAAAATCTTTCTTCCATAAGAACAAGAAAAAATACAGGGCAAACCAGAATATCTCAGATTCTTGCAGACTAGAGATTTTATTAGTGTTAAATATTACTACAATTGTTCTGTAAGATACTGAGATTCATAGTATTTGGATAATACCAGTAGCATGTTTGTTTTTACCTTCTGGCGGCCTGTTAGATGTTGCCACAACGACAACCCCATTTTGGAAGAGATTTTCAAAAAGCTGCTTCAGAATCATGGCATCAGCAATGTCAGTGACCTGTAGAAGACAACACATTTGTTTTATCTTGCTTTCAGCTTCTGCTGCAATAGATCTGCAAGTGGCTTTGTAGCTAGGAAAAATGCTTGTTAGTGAAAGCCATTGGAGAAAGATTCTAATTATTGCTTGGTGAGAAAAAAATAAAAGGGATAATTAATAAGCAGCGAATGTACCACAGTCTTTCAAAACTTGCCCACTCTTTATTGAGGAACTCCACCATTTCTTTACCAATTGCTAAATGATTCCGTGTTAACTTCTATAATAAAACTACAGGTGGGAGACAGAAAACAGACCTAAACATTTAAGAGGCCTACTTAATTAGAAGCAACATGAAAAAAAAACAGAAAATAGAAAGAAAATACACACCGGCTGTTTTACATTTCTATTACCTTTGAGGCAAAGGTTTGCAGAGGTGAATTTAAACGGTCATGGGACTTCAGAAATAAAGACAAGTAGCCAACTATACATAATCAGCTGCTGTTGAAAATAGAATGATATGACATAGATACTATTGTGTGATTGTTGCAAAAAACAATTCAACAGATGGCCCATCACAAAAATAAGCAATTTCATTGTTCTTTTTAAGTGCCTTCTATTACTGTCCATGAATAATCAAAAGGCAGGCAGTCACTTGCAGCACAGTCAGCCTCTTCTAACCTTCAGGCACAAAACACGAATGAAAAATAAAAATGGGTAGGACAAGCGATACTGGGGAGGGGGAAGGAGGAAAAAACAGATAGACAGAGGAAAAAAAATAAGCCTTTAAGTAAAATTTCTTTAAAGATCTTAATTTTAGCTCAACAAACTTGCATTCTAGTATCAAGAAATAAAAGGAAACAGAAACCACTCTGCACAAATGAAAAAAAGTAATAAGTTTTTCGGATAAAAAAAGCCCCTTGTTACAACAGTAATTCATATTTTATAGGAGTTCACCAGCTGAGATCAGCAATCTTAATACATAAACAACCTTTATGATCATTACACTTGATTCTCCTGCATTCCCTGTGGTTATTATGTAGACACTTGTTGCATTTTGACGCACTAAAACAGACCCTGACTCTGAGGAAATAAACCAGTGGTGGCATGGTGAGAGTTACACATACTCATCACACAACAGACTGACAGTTTGCTGTGCTTTCACCAGCTTAGATGTGTATGCTGTGATAGTAATACATGTAAAGAAATATTTTAACCAGTATAATTTTTGACTCTACTCCACACCCCTCCACCTCCCATCATTTTCACATTTCTAAATGACCTTTCTGGGCAGAAAAAAAGAAGATAATTCTACAGCAGAGACAGTAAAGGACTTAGGTTACATTTCTAACAGCTAGTTTGGAAGCAATAATGTTCTTAATGAATGATATACAAACACTAGTTTCCTTCTTCCAAAGACGACTTCTATTTTGTTCTATATAATGCATTAATAGGGACTTTTTTCTTTCCTTTTTAAAACCAAACTTTTACATTATCTGTAACACACCCCTCAGATTTGCACATCTCTGCTCACTAAGATCTGATATTAAAAAAAATATAGTAACTCTGTACTGTACTGTATGCCTAATATATCTGCTTATGCATCATTTATCAGTAATTTATTTCTTCTGAATAATAAAATTTAGGAACTTCCCCCATTCCTAAAGAACAAGACACACAAGGAATCACTATAGATGTGCATCTTAGGAGTAACTGAATTTGTTGTACCACAAAGCAAACCTAAAAGCCAAGTTTTAAAAATCTATTATGTGTCATTTTGTTACAAACTTTTTTATTTAACAATACATGCAAAGCATGCTACCTTTAGAAAACAGGGAGTGAAAGAATATAAATGCTCATAAAACAAAACAATAACATCCTCTTATTAATAAGAACTGTTATTTGATGCAGGATTCTGAACTCCATTACAAAAAAAACCTAAACAACAAAAAAAGTTCCTGAAAGCTCTGTCAAAAACCAAGAGCCATTTTGAGGACCAGAATGCAGACATGAGCTCTTTTTATGTAATCCCGTTTCGTTTCGGAAAGAGAAAAAAAATTCTACAGGGTAAAGCAGGTAGGAGACAGTAACTAAAGACTGTAAGTTCTCATGGTTTTTTACTGTATCTAGCATTCATTGAAACAGATAAGAAAAGCAAAGGCTACAAATTAACAATAAGGAGAGCCAGCTAATGGAGAGAAGGCAGAAATTTCATGCATTTAAAAGATTTTTATTACATAGTGCTGCTTTCCATTATAACTCACGTTACAAAAAAAAAAAAAAAGAAGAAGAAGAAAAAAGAAGGAAAAACACTAGACTAATAGTTAATTTACATGTGTAAGTGCCTGAGATTCAGTCAGCCACTGATTGGTACATTGCCATGTAATGAATGGCAAACATAAGCATGTATTATCAGCAATTAGTATTAGCACAAAAATAAGAGCCTAATTTTTATTAGAGGCTTTTAATAGAATGCAGGTTAGTAAAAATTCCCTAAATTGTAGTTCACTTTAAATCCAAATGGTACTGATGGCATATTAAGACTAACACTACATGATCTCTCAGCTTCCCAAGAAGTAGGGATTCTGTTTTCATTTTCAATACTAACATAGGTTACAGTCCCATGCCAAAATTAGACCTTCTAATTACCTGTGTATAGTTATTTGATCACTAAACAACAACTGGACTCTTTTTACTAGCCAACCTCTGTGTTCTAAAACATCAAAACTATAACTACAAATGGCATAATTCTAGGGTTTTTCTTCAAAATGAGGACACATTTTTAGAATGGCTTAAGACTTTTGTGATTAAAAAAAAGAAGACGTTAATATTTACAGTAAACTGTATGACAAAGATCAGTAAGAAGTAGAAATGCTTTAATAACCTGAGAGCCTGGGACTCAGGCAAAACGCTGACAAAATCCTGCTTCAAAATAGACACACAAGCTTAGTGCCATCACTAAGGTCCTCTCTATCACACAGTATTTGCAAAATGAAACATTTAAAACAGTAATTTTTTTTAATACAACACAGAAACACTACTTTTAAAAGAAGTACTCTAATATTTTTTTACACCAATTAGTCAATTCTTCAGCTGCTTGACAGTTTTCTAGGCTTTGCAAGAAGATTCACTTCCAAATACTTCTGCTTTGCTTTAGCCCACTGTCAAAGACAGAATGGCAACCTAAGCAAGGCTTTTGTCTTCTGGAGTTCTGCATTTGGTTTCCTCTGAAATAGGAGCATTAACAATATAGCCACAAGCTTCAGTGGGGAAATGTGCTGCAAACATCCTGAACTAAATATGACTCATTATTAATGTAAGCTGTTCGTCCAGTCACTGCACTACTCTATGATTACTTAAGCAGAAGGCTTCTTATCCCAAAATCAGTGCCTTCTGCAAAATTTAAGAAAGCTGCAACTCCTCTTCAGTAGGCAAAACCTGTATAGAGTTCCATACTACAGAAAATCAGGCAAGAAATCCAGCCATTCAGAAATCTGTGAATTTAGAAAATTAGTACACGCAGAACAAGTAGATTTTAAAATTCACATATGAATGCAAAGTCTTAGAGACACTTTTAAAAATATAGTTCTTGTATTAATTTCCCAGCTGCGACGGACTGACAAAACCAGGTGATTTTTCCAACTGAAGTCACTGATGTACCTCAAGCGAGTCAGCAGGGGGAGCAGGCAATCAATCTGGAAACAAAAAATACCAGTCTCTCTCTTTAAAATGTGGAAACATGACAGACAGTCTGGAAACACAGCAATACCAGGACACAAAAGCAGTGGGCACTTATACAGAAAAGCAGGTATTTACACTAATATATGCTACCGCCTCTTTCTACCATTTGAGCATTTAATGTCATGAGAGTTAATACTTCCCTCTCCAAACCTTCCCATTTCTTCACAGTGTAAATACAACTGTCTCTGTATTTAGATTTTATATTCAAGTCTCGGGAGCCCAGCATTCATATCCAATAGATAAAGCATAAATTAAATGATCAAACAGCAGCAATTGCAATGAGCCCACACTTTCTGAAACTGTAGATCAAAGGACTACCCCCAGATGAAAAATGGAAGAGTAACTTAAAATAAGAACTACTTCACAAAAATCCCCTTCATGGGAGCCAATCACAAAACAGTTTATTTTCCTCGGATGCACACATTTGTAAAATAACAGCCAGTAAATATAAATTGCTCCATCTATTTCAGAAATGTATTCATTTAAGAGCATAACACAGACAATTAATAGATTATTCTTTTATTATCGGTGATTTGAGAACTAACATAGATCTGTTCTTATCTTGTTCTGCATTTTCTGTCTAAATTAAAAAAAAAAAATCCCAGTTGGTTAGAACTGCCAAATACCTCTAGCTTCTTTACTAATAAATAAAGCAATTTTATACTTAAGTCTGTGATGTGCCCTTAAAACAAAATTCACAAGCTATTTAAAATGAAACAATCAAGTCGGCTTGTGCAAAGATCATTTTATAAGCTTATTTTAATTTTCACATTTAATTAAATGAAAGTTTCTTAAAATGCTAGTTGATAAAATCTGGCACAGTCATGCCAAAGACTTCAATAATTCTAGGAAAGAATTTAGGTTGAATCTGACGTGGTATTTACATATCCTTAATCACAGAGAGTATTTTGTAGCATTATATGAACTACAGCAAAGACCAGGCATGCCAAGCAAGTATCAGGTGGTACTGGACAGACTCAGTACAGGATGATGGCCCCTGCCCTGAAGCATTCATGAGCCTCTAGACAAACTCTAATTCCTCCTTGTAGGATCAATAAACAGACTGGTAAACAAAAGCACTATAAGGGCACTTACACCGTCAACTTGCATCTTATCTACTGTGGAAAAAAAACCCCAGATCCTTGCCATCTTCAAAACTGTGAAACGACTTACACTCTTCAACTTGTTTACTACAGTTCACTGCTGAAGTGATTAAAATATTATATTAGCAGTAACAAGTGTCATATTTTAAGATCAAAAGTAATTTTATGTAGTTTCCCTTGAAGCAAAGGAGCAATCTCTGACTTTTTACCTGAAATTCATCAAAACATAAGAGAGCAGCCTCTTTGCTGATTTCCTCTGCCACCGGTGCAATTGGGTCGTATGATTTGGCCATAAATCCTGCCTTTCTCTTTGGCAAGCTCTGCTTAAGGCGATGTATTCCTTAGATGATAAAACAGAAAAGAACAAATACGTCTTATTTCTTTTCCTAAGATTGGAAGAACAAAATTATTTAGCTACCAAATAAAAACTAGCCCAGTCTAGTAAAAATAAGAAAGCTTCAAACTTAATCTAGTTTCAGGAGGGCAAAACAGTTTTCAACCACATCCAGGCAACAGTTAAAAGTTCAGAGATTCTATGATTCGTATTTTTTTGTTTAGGAATATATAAAACAAAAATCAAAGAAGTCTTGAATGCTGTGCACCTATACCTTATTTTTTATAAATAGATATTAATTACAGACTTATCTTGCTCTGAAGGTATTCTTAGAATGCATTTAGTTAAAAGAATGCAGACACAGCAACACAGTCATGCTTTAAAATGTGAAGATGATGACACTGGCAGAAGGTAAGATTGTTATATCCATGCTTTACTGTATGGATACTGATTGTATTGCATCTGACTACAAACAAACGTTTGGAAGACAATGACTCTGCAGTAGGAAGCTATCTTTAAGATCAAGCACAAATGACAAAAAACGGAAATGGAAAAACTCAAGAGTGACCCAGTGATGATAGAAAAGTGAGCACTAGAAGTGGCTTAAGTTGTTTACACTGATGAAAGCCTCACAAGAAAAATGCAGCTGTCACAACATTTGTAAATTACAGCAACAGTTAACAATTTCACAGTCATATAAGGTCATAAAATTTGGAAACAGAAGAAAATTTTAGAATATCTAAAACAGCATCTCTGTCAAAACAAAGTGCTTTTCACCCTGTCAGAAAATTTTCTGAAACTTAGGATTAACTTCTATTATTTTTTCCTCCAAATTACTCATAGTATTACTAAGTTAATCAACCAGAATAGTTTCCATTCTCCTTGGCATTTATACCTGATTTAGTTATTCTTTATTCAAAACGCAGATGGAGTTTAACCTTTCCAGTTTCAGTTTTAGCAATTGCCTTCTTCAGATTTCATGTAAGCTAATTGGTAACTGGAAAACATTTAGTTAAGGATTTCATCCTAAACAACACACTCAAGTTTCTATACAATCAGGTATATATATATATATATCTTTCAGAAAAGATATTTGAGAAATAATATGCAATTAATATCTATACTGGTCTGACAGACAATGCTAAAATGCTTCAACATTTCTCCTATTTTTTACCTTTTTTTTCTTAAATACTTGAATAAATTTACAGTGATTATTATGAACATAAGAATGAGACAGACCTTTTTATAGATATCATATTTCATAAAATTCTTGTCAATACCCGTGTCTGCACTTACTCTGGTGTACATCCAACATGAAACCATGAAAATGGACTCTCTTTTTTCTTTCTACTTCTAAGTGAGAATAGAACATGTCCATCACCATTGTCTTTCCTGTGCCTTCAAATAAAAACAATAAAAAGCACTCAACCAGTAAAGTACAGTATGTACTGATTACAACAATGATTGTTTGATAGCTTTGAATTAATTCAACAACAGTCTTCCACAGAGTAAGTACAAGACCAGACTGCTGTGAAGAACAGTTATGTTTTCTGTTCAAAAACTTGGAACAACTGCATGTTTATTTTTCTGTTTTAAAATTTTGATCCATACAGAGATGGCCCAAAGGTTGCACAAATTACTCCACATACATCCAGAAAACATCCTTAGTATTTCCTCCGGAAAGCAAGTATGATTTCATGCTGCACTGCTGCAATTAGAATATACGAATTCTCTCTGGTGGCCTCCACAATTACTTCCCAAATTCTTAAACTGCATTCTTAAATATTAGGGAATGGGTAATGCTGAAAACTACACATAGTAATGTGGCCCAATCAAACAGATTCCAGGATTCAGACTGTAATTGTATTAAATTACATCATAATGTGGAAGGAAACTAATCCTGTAAAATTCATTAAAGCAATAAAGCTCCATAAAGTTTTTAGACAGTTCCGAATTTGAAGAGACATGCATTAGAGAAAGTTCCATTGGATGTAAATGAAACTTACCCACATCTCCATAGACATAAACACCTTTTGGGGGTTTGTTTTTGGCAAGGAGCTGCAAGTCAAGAGAAAAAGAATAAATATGGATATGGGGTAAAATAAAAGCAAACATAATGCTGTGGTATAGTAAGAAAGTAGCTACACTTAACCACAAAAGTAGCACTAGCTAGCAAAGTGCAATCTTGAATAAATCATTAGCTCAGAATTGATAGGCAATCAATGTTGTATTTGTGTGAATTCTGTAAAAGAGACAAAACACACGCAGGGTTTGGTTGGGCCTTTTTTCTACATCATTTTGAAAATATCCCCATTCCCAGTCCTAGCACACATGCCTTTTATATATACATATATATATAATGAATTAATATTTCCCAATCTATCATCATCAAAACAAATCCTTTCCCTCATTAAGCCATTTGAACAGTTCTAGAAAAAAGGATATCAAATTAAGCAGTATTAATAGTACCCATAGATATATGCACAATATACCTATTAGAGGAGTTCTGCTAAAGATATAAACTCATAGATGATTCAGAAAATCAGTATTGCAAAGCCAGTGAGCATTGTAAGAACTCTTTCTCTCAGCTTTGAATCTTAAATGCAGAATCATCTCTGGTTTAAACATTATTAAAATAAATGGAGTCACAGTAAAAATATGTACCTATATACACATGCCTCTGTGTGTATATGCATAAATATATAAAAATCTAAAAAAATATTTTCAAAAGTATGCCTTTTATTAACCATTTTTTCAAGTGAGTTACTTTTATCTCGAACGATCACTGTTTAAAAATTTTAAATTTCTTAATATTATTCAGGACATATATTAGGACACCTGATGGTTTATTCTATTTTACTCAAATACATATGGAAAAACTTCAAATAACACCAAGACTTTCCATTTGAAATAGTCCTCTCCCTCTCCCCCCCAGTATTGTGCATAGCCCCTTCCAAGTATAATTCTGAAAAGAAACAGTTTCTAAAAAAATAGAGATTTTAAAAAAAATTCTATCAAATCCATTAAAATGAATTGATATCTGCAAAAACACTGCTGAAGAGTATTTGATTATTTTAAAGGGCTCCACTTTCAGAGCTCTATGGGGTGAGGCAACACAGAAGAATATTAAAATTGCAACCCAGGGGTCTCATTTGGAGCTGGGTAATTGCTAAACAACTTGAATCTAAAGCACTTCTTCAAAATACAGTGCCATGTTAAAGAAATAGAGGAGTCAGCAGCAAGACACTAATTGAATAGGAAAGAAAATTCATGACCAAAAGGTAGAAGGCTAACATCTCAGGTCTGGAGTACCAGTTCGTTCAGAAAATATCCAAGCATGGCTCTTACATAAGATCCTCTTTTGGATTTCATTTAAGCTATATTAATAGGGTAATCAAAAATTTGTATCATCAATCTGTGGTTGGACAGGGTTTCAGATGTTCTGAAACCATTCCATTAATAGATAAGGCTGCAACTATTTGCCAGTGCTTTCAAAACACTGCAAGACAATTTAACTGTTGAATATTTTTCATTGTGTACTTTTTAAGAGCTTGCACTCAGTAAAACTACTGATGCTCAAAGTTACACAGCAAAGAAAGGAGGAATGGAAAAAAATCCAAAAGAAAGACATTAATAACAATTTCTTTGGTTTTAATTTGATATTAACAACAGTCATTTTAACAAGACAAAAGATTATCACATTCAATTTATTTCAAAGAAAGGCTGTATCAATCTGATTTGCACTTTCACAAGGAATGACACCAAGCTAGAAAAATAAATCTGTTTAGAGTACAGCTTTACTTGTCTTTGTAAAGGTTATACGACCAGAACAAGTATTTCACTGCGAATTTTTTATTAATTACATTTAACCATTTTCATATTTGTCTTTTTAGGCATATTTATTTCTGGAAAACGCGTTACAGAAAAAAGGGGTTTTGACTAACGGAAATAAATATAATGGCTTGGGCTCCATAAAAGTCTAAATCAATTTCTGGTTGATTCAAAAAATGAAATTAGCTTCCCTGTGAAGACAAAAATTTTTGAGTGATATCTAATTCCTGAAAAGGATGGGTACTGCAGCAGATCCAAACACATCTGCTGAAGCTGGTCATCTCTAAAAGCAAATCAAATGTCAGAAAACCTCTCGTCCTCTTTGAGGAATTCAAGAAGTTTGTAGGAAATGTTTTACATATAATTCTGCCAAAAGTGACACTATTGATCGCTTCAGTATAATCACTTCCTTAATCCTGTCAGGTACTGTATAATGCTAAGAATGTATTTTTATATTCTTGGGTTGTTTTATTGTTTTGGGGTTTTTTTCTTGAAATATATTTTATTTTTAAAAAGTAAACTTGATTAGTAGATTTTTAATACTGAAAATTTATTTCAGGGAGGGAAGAGAGAGAAGTAGGAAATGTAGGAAGACAAACTAAATGAATGAGCTTCTCCTCACTTCTCATTCCCATATTATCCTGATGAATATTTGGGGTCTCGATATAATAATGTTCAATTTGTTGACAGTACATTTTCTTTTGCAACAATGGTAAGATTTAAGGATGCTGAAGTTAATATTTAGAATGCACTAATCCAGAGATAATAAGTGATGCACAAAATTTGAGTATGAAGGGGAGAATTTTGAAATGCTTATACATAAGTTTTAAAGGCTCCCCACACTCTTTCAAACAGGGGCATCACCTCAAATATGTCAAATGTTTGAGTCCTCCAAGTTTCTTAATTCCCACAACATTCTTTGCAATAACTTAAGAAAGCATAAATTCAGTGCTTCACAGAGTTTCATTATCATCAAGACATGCTACAGCAGAAGCCTTTTTTCCTTTTATAGATAGTTGACTTACAGATTTTAATTTGAAAATCATTCATATCTTAAAAATATTTACACTTCCACAAGATGATATAAACATTAGTATCCCTATATTTACAGAATTCTCTTCTGTGTTATCAAAACGTTTTCATAGAATCACAGAATGGTTTGAGTTGGAAGGGACCTTAAAGATCACTTAGTTCCAGCCCCCCTGCCATGGGCAGGGATACCTTCCACTACACCAGATTGCTCAAAGCCCCGTTTTACACATTTCTGTTTCAAAACTGCAAGCCTTGCTTTGATCCTATCAGATCAGATTTTTTCTTTGTTTAAACTTCACTGTCAATCAAACGATATCCTACCTCATCTAAGGAACTGAACTGGTCAGAACATCTCCTTCATTCTGACAACTTCTTATTGTTTCTTAAATATCTTCAATAACATGCAACATCTTCCCACCTTCTCCCACGCTCAAACACCAGAAGCAAGCAACTCATTTCCTAGGAATATTTACTGATTTGAAAAACTTTTAAGATGGTTAGGCTACTAAGGTGGTTAATTAAAATATGCAAAATCCAAGAGACAAGTCTCTCTTAAATGCTAACAAAACTGCCTCTTTCTCCCACTCTTTCAGGCTCCTTTTCGGCTGCTCTTGTAGTTGAAGACATTTTCAAGGTCTTGAATGGTGTTTACTATTGTTCATACCTCTTTTCAAAACATGACCTCACTTATAATTGAGTTTATTTCAAGTCATTAGTACAGCAACTCGACAACTCTTAAGAAGTCCCAATTGGTATTATTTTGAAAAGCTGGAGATCTGAAATGTCCGTGCAAACTCTTACAGCCTTGAACTTCAATTCAGAGGATCTCAAAATATCTCAACATACAAGGCCACGCCTTCACCAAGTTGAAGATCAAAGTCCTTGCTCGAATTTGAGCAATAACTTTGAAAAACAGAAGCCTACTTAGTCGGCAGCAAGACTAATTGTTTTTTCCCTAAGATTCCTTCTAAGATGATGCCCCAAAAAAACTAAATCACAAAAAAAATAGTTTTATTACCACGAATCAAAATGGTTGATGTCATGGTGTATGTCCCAAACTACTCATTTCAGAAAGCTTTGGCCTGTGAGGCAATATAAATCCCTTCTATAAACACTGAAATGCTTCTCTATTGTATCTGATGCAAATATTTGCTCCCTAATCCTCCTTTTACCATATTTTACTGAATAAAACTATTTAGACAAAAAGTGACAAAAGAAGAACAAAATTAAAACCAAAGCAGACCATTCTTGTATTGGGTGTGAAGTTTCTATTTCTGGAATAACAGCTATTTTGGAAGAGGCTTCTGCAATTATATCACAGAAGAAATCAGGCAATAAAATAAGGAAGATCAGACTACAGAAGAGGCTGAGAGATGCTTCTCTTTCACCACTCCCTTTTCTTCAATGCAGCCCCTCTACCACATTCTCTTCAATGACAGACCCAGGAAAAATGAGTACACTTGAAATGCCAAGCACCACTAGTTTTTTATTTCTTAAAAGCTGCCAGTAGATAAATCTCTTCTCAACACAGGAGATTTCATACTAAAGGTAGGCTAGTCAAGTTGCCAAAAACCTCCTGAAAAAGCAAAAAGTCAATCTACAAGATACTAAGTATAACTGATAAAGTATTTGATTTTTTTAAAATAAATCTTTAAACAATTTAAAATACAACCATTTGTTTCATTTATATCTATTAAAGCCCATTAAGTACAAAAAGAAAAATGAAACCAACTGTTCTATCCCAAAAACATAAGGTTTATCTTTTACTTCCCAGCATATTCAAAGTTAGAAAGTACCAGGCCCTCATGGGAGGAGAGTGACAACAAGCTATTCACAAATACGGGATTTACCTGTGCCCTGTATCATTAATACTCCATGGAGATGCCTTCTACTAGTTACGTGAACTAATTCCACTCATAAATCTACACAAATCCTATTCAACCCAGGCCAATTCCAGACAGCAGTATTCACCAGCATCTCTTCTTGCCACGAAAAGCCTTAGTTCTGCTCTCTAAACCCGAACCAAGTCTGCAACAGCATCCCTACTCTGGAAGTCCATAATAGAAAAACAGGTATTTTGCTTACTTAGGAAACTCCTGAACAGATGCAGACATATGACAAGCACATGATTTTACCAACTACCTAGTCACAGTTGTGACTTATTCTGGGGAAAACCTTCATTAAGGATGTTGATTACAACTTTGCTGAAGCAAAACCTTGCCTGCACTAGAATTTAATCCATACTCTATTTGGCTTCATTTTATCTCAAAAGGAGCTCTGTTTGAACTGGCAAATAGCATCCTCAAAGACAACAGAACAGAAACAAAGCTGTTGTGACTTCTTCAGCCTGAATCATGATTTGATTTAATTACACAAGCTAGGCTTTTAACAGATTTACGCAAAATTCACTGCTCTCCTCCTTTTCTGGAGTTTTGATGTATGGCATGGCACTACAGTGCTCAACCTTGATTATCATCTTGAGATTTCCATAGAAAAATCAAGCTCTAGAAGAGAAACCTCGAACTACAACAACACTCACCCCAATAGCAAGTAGTTCTACAGTTGCCTCTCACTGACTGTGGCATTAGTTCCACCAATGAGCCATACAACAATTTTTAAAAGCTGGTTTAAAATTAAAGCATGGAATTGAAGCAATGTTAAATAAAGAAGTGAAGTGCTTTAAATGAACTAGTGAAAAACACATTCTCATCTTAAAAAATGGCATTTGACTTTTTCCTTTTAAGGAAGCGTCAGTCAGTCTGGTTTTATTGCCATTAGCTCTGTTATGCAGGGGAAAAAGTAGCATTACATTTCCTTAAATAAAATAAGATTAGTATTTGTTCTCTGCAATACAGACTTTCTTCCTTATTCATGCTTCCCAATGAGAGAATCAGTAAATAACCTATACAATGGTTGATCTACAAAGCCAGTATAAAACACCTAATCTAACAGTGATTCAGCTCTCAAAACTATTCTCAAAGGCAGCCCTTTCAGAACCTAATATCCAAATGTCCAAAACAGTTTTCCAATAAAGATCAAAATGCTTTAGCCTACTGATCCTCAGGTTTGACAGCAAGACCAATGCCTTCATCATAACATTTTTTCTAGAATATGAAAATGAATAAAAGTCTGGCAGTATGTCCAAAAATATTACAGGAGCAAGCCTGATAACTGGCTCCCTTTCAAGTGACTTCTTCTATAGCCCAGGCGCAGTAAGACAATTTCAAGATAGGCAAATTAAAAGATTATGAGCCTAACATCAAAGATTAAAAAGAAGTCCAGATAGATGAAAAAGAAAAACAAACCCCAAACCCAAGAAATTTTCACATCAACAATTCTCAAGTTATAAAACTCTGGACAGCTAGATTCCACTTATAGAAATAGTTTGGCAAGCTGATTCCAGCTTGATCTCCTTACACTTAAGCAGAAAAGGTTTGCATTCAGGCATGCTGCCATATTGCTCTGGATACCAAAGATAAGAAATAACCATTTTTCAAAGAGGAATTTTCTATTTTTCATTTGGTACTTGCTGAAATCGCATCAGGAGACTGATTTAGACTCAAGAGTTAGCCCACAAATGCATTAAGACAACATGAATTTACAGGCACACGCCCACGTACAACATTAATAAGTGTTTTAAAATACCATAAACATACATTTTTCAACCTACATCTATAATTTACACACTGTTTTTATGTTTTTAATAATATTAATTAAAGAAATCCCAAAAGTAAAAAGGTAAGCAATGTGATGAAATGACTCATCCGCCAGAGCAGGCAAAAATATATTCCAAACCCACAAGTTTGGCTCCAATGCCCACATCAGAGTCAGAATCATTGAATGATTTGGCTAGGCAGTGATTTCAGAGGATCATGTGGCCAAGCCCTCTGCATAAGTTGGATCACAGAATATCTCAAGTTGGAAGGGACCCATAAGGATGATGCTTCTACAACAGAGCTTCCAAAGACACACTCATTGCCCTTTAGGAACAGTCTTGCCTTAGGACTTCGCTTTCTGTACTTGCATGTTTTTTCTTCCAGAGTGCCTGACTGTTGCTCCATGGAACTGTTCCCATTCAGGTTTCTTCTCAATAAAAAAAGAGCTCCTTCCTTCCATCAGGAGGCAGGAAGACATTTAAAGCATTTTCAGTCAAGCATATGATTAGCAAATATATTATCTGCAGCTACATATGCAGGCATTCAAGCAATGTTAGAGGAAGACCATAGGCAAGCACATCCCAATGCTCTGCACCCTGCTATACTAATACATGTACTAAACAGGCCCATTCACAGGTATAATATGTGTTCTCTTCTCTACTTTTTTTCACACCTTGAAGCTAATATTCATTGCAAGAACCTTAGAGTGGTAACTTGTCATTCAGTACGTAAAGGCCAGAGGAAAGTGTGCCATTTTAAGGGACTGGAGACTTGCAGGTTTTGGCTCCCCTGATCCCATGCTACATCATCTGGGCTTGCCATGCTAACAAAATACAGTATTTGTGCCAGGTAACAGGAGAATTTGGGGTTGTAATGGGAAGTATATGGTTAGGCAAGAAGTTCAATAGAGTTACATATTTAGATTTATGTTGTGTAACGAATGCTGAGAAAGGCTAACACAGAGCTTTGTTAGCAAGGACTGCAGATGATGGCAAACATTGACTGTAAATGTGACAGTTACTTCTGACCATAAATAAAACCAAAAGTGGTGCAAGAGAAATAGAGAGCACAGGAAAAACACTCCGAGGCCGGCTGGGAAGAGCAATGACAGTTTCTCTCCTTCTAGAGGCAGGGTGTCTCTCCAGTGCAGATGATGAAGGCAATGTGTATTTTGCCACACTTTTTTCCCAGCACTATACTTTAATCATCAGACTCAGTCAAACACTCTGTTCTTGTTTCTCCTCACCATAGCTTATGACTATTTGTGTTGACTCCAGTATGTTAATCAGGTGCAAATGAAGCATATTCACTGGTTGTTTAGCTTCTGTGTACATCTATGATGGCCTAATATTTACCAAGTAATTAAATGTCTTATGTACTTTGGTTTTCTCGAATATAAACTCAAATCTACAAAAACAAGGGTCAAGGAAAGCTGAGGGGGGAATTCTCACACCAGTTCTAATTGCTTCCCATAAGAGCCTCCCATAACAACGCTATTAATATTTGCAGGTGCAAGGCCACAGCAGCAACAACCTGAGAATAGCATGAGAACAAGACATGAAATACCATCAAAGAGGCTCTGGAAAACATTGTGTCAAGAGCTTCAGGGAAAAGTTACAGAGATGCAACAGCAGGCTAACAGCTACTAATGCTAAGGGACTATGATTGACAAGTCTCTGTGCAACGGGGATATGTCTGAACTTTTGTTAATCCTTTGAAAAGAAACTGTGATGCCCCTCCAAAACTTAATCAGATCACACCTCTGCCTTCTTTTTCACCTCACCCAGAGACAACAACATGGGAAAAAATTCTTTTAAAGTCATATCTGATCTACAGTATGATGTGGAAATTATTCATGAAAGATCTGTAAGAACACAAAACATCAGTGTTCAGTTAATGTAATTCAAACACACAAGTATAATATCCGTGATTGAGAACTAAAACCCAGATTAGGCCCCTCTCTCCTATAGCCAAATAACATTTTGGAAAGGCAGACAGTGGACACAACTAAAACCAGATTTTCTTGCAGAATTATTTCAATAATATTTAATTTGGTTACTTCTAGAGTGCCACTGGATTTTATAAACCAAAAAAAGCAAGAACAGAGACTGAAATATGAAGAATGATGTATCTGTAAAGACCCATCTGGAAAAACAAGATTCATGCTAATGACAGAAACTTATGTATTTTAAGCACATTCTTATGAGCAAATATAAATGCAAAAAAACATTTTTATCACTATAAGCCTCACCTTTGAGAAAAGATTTTTTGAATCAATGCTGTAGCCTTTAAGGCTCTCATGTAACTTCTGCAGGTGCTGCACAACTCTTCTTTGTTGCTCATCATTCTTCAGCTCTTCTTGCTTAATCAGAAAGTCATAATGTTCTAAAGGTCCATTGCAAACCAACAAGGCTCTGGCGTGAGCATCTGTAGAAGTACCAGGGCCTGTCTTCTTCTCTGCCTGAGCTGTGTATGCTGTAAAAAATAAAAGTAGCCTATTAATAGAGACGTTTTGAAAAGCATTTTCTTATAAACAGCACACATTCGTAACAGTTTACACAAAGACATATATAATTACTTACCTATACAACCACCAGAGTATGTTACCCCTTCATTTTTCATCAACTGAATTTCTACCTTTACTCCAGTAGTATGTTTTACCATTTATTTTTATTATTAAAAAGTACACTCACTAAGAAGCCCAGCTGGACACTTGGTAAGATTTGGATGAGCCATTTTAAGGGAAGTTTTGACCTTTTTTTATCAAACTGGGGTAAAACTTCCAAAGGGCATTTCTTTGAATAGATAATCCTTTAGATGATACTTTAGAAAGTATTTAAAAGTCAGCAAACAGGAGACCAAACCAGGAGTTCTGTAAGGAAGTTGAGAAAGTCAAAGACCATACTGAGCAAGGCAATAGCCGTGAAGCCCTGCAATGCCATGGCCTGTTCTGCTGGCATAATCTCCCTAGAAGAGACAGGGATAAGCCCAAGCAGGAATTCTGCTGGAAACAAGAAATCAAAAAAAAAAAAAAATTGCTAGACATAAAATAGGATATAACTAGGAAAGGAAAGAATGTACAGCATTACAAAGAAGGCTAGCCAAATCATTAGGATCAGAAACAATGGCATACACTGAAAAGCTGCTAAATACCTTCTTTGCTTCTACTGTCATTTAATAGGTTAAGTATAACAAAGAAAAACACAATTTGTAGCAATGGTAAAGAGAACAGATCTGAGTGTAGGAAAAACACATATCAAAGACTGCACAATTAGATATTTTTAATACTGTGAGATCTAAAGAAATTCATCCCTAAATGCTTTCGGTAAGTGTCCCAAACAACACAATGGCCTCTAACAGCTTTCTTTGAGGCCTCACTGAAGGCAGGTGAGGTTCCAAACCATGAGGAAAATGAAAAAGAATTTGTCTTTAAAAAGAAGAGAAAGGTAAATCCAGAAATTCATAGGCCAGTCAACACAACTTCGGAACACTCAAAAATACCGAAACAACTACAAGCAAATTTTTTTTTTAATAAAGTACTTAACAAGATAACATAACAAACAAAAGGCAACATCAGCTCCTCAGGAACAACACAAGATCAAAAGGTTTTTCTCTCTGATCAAGCAATATGCTTAATGGGTAGAGGAAAAACATCTTTATTGCAGTAACACTTTTATTACACACCAAGATTATAAATCAATTCAATGATGGCTGCCCAACCCTGCAGATGTCCTCAAACAACATATACAAGGACAACTTCGCCTTTAACATGGAAGCTGAAAAACCATGCCTAAAGCCACTGGATTTGCTCTAACAACTTTTTCTAAATAGCAGTATGTTGGTTATAAAAAACAAACTCCAGAGATTTCAAGTGTTAGACCAGTATCAAATAGAACACATGCAACCAGCATACTACTAACTGCAGTGCTTGTCTATTTTTCTTAGGATATATAAACATTGTACAATCAGAACATAATGTGTACGTGAACACTTATGAACCCTGGGACCCACCTGTCGCCGACTGAATTCTCACCACTTTTGCTAGACTGGCAGAGGACGAAGAGCTCTAAGTGAAGAAAAAAGACCTCTGCTCCTAACCTAAGCTTCAAGTTCACAAACTTCCATAAATTTGTGTACTGTACTGAATTTTAAAGAAAGGCTTAGAGCACGGCTGTTGCTATGCATCGGAAGATCCTGGAAGGAAAACAGTCCCTCAGACATCCTACAGCCCAGGCCCGGCGCTGGCAGCCACCGGCGCACTCGCCGAGCACCCGAGGGCAGCCGCAAGGCAACGCGTTTAATCAGGTACCGCACCGCAGCCCTGTTTTCCCGGGGGGAAAGCGGCACCATTTACTCGGGAAGCCGCAGGGCCCCCGCGTGCCCCCACCCCCAGGGGATCGGGGCCAACTCCCGGCGCACACCGGCAGGCGCGTCCCGCCGCGGGCAGGGCCCAGGACAGGGCGACAGGAGGACACCGGCAAGGTCACGGCACCACGGGCGGCGGCCCACCCCGCCCGGCACAGCCCCCTGTCCCCCTTCCCGATGCTTTCGGGGGGGACCGGACGCGGGGGGGCGGAGGGCCCGCCGGGGTGCGGCCCGGTGCCTCCCCGCGCAGTGCCCGGCGGCCGCACTGACCTCTGAGCGCCGGGAGCAGGCGGGCGCAGCGCCGCGGAGCCCGCAGCAGCCACGGCGCTGTAGCCAAGGGCGACACGAGCGCCGCCATCTTCCCAGCCCGGCCACCGCAGCGGGGGCGCGGGGCGCGCTGGGAAATGGAGTCCCGCGGCCCTACGGAGGAGGCCTTCGCGGGCGGCGCTGAGCCAGCGCTCCCGCCTGGGTCACAGAAACACGGAGTCAATTAGCTTGGCAAAGACCGCTGAGATCATCGAGTCCAACCTATGACCGAACACCACCATGTCAAATAAACCACAGCACTGTTAGGAATAAAAATGTGTTCTTGCAAAATTTGTAGTGTGGTTGCATTTGGTGGTGGGAAGTGACAAGTTATTGGTTGTTCAGTCGTTTAGTTATAGAAAGATGCAGTTTGCTCAGAAACAAGGGGACCATGTAATGAGAGGACACACTGCAGGCATCGAGAAGGCTGTAACCCCGGAGTACCTCAGCCAGTGGGGAAATGGGGAGGGACCTGCGTTTCAGGCAAGGGGGTAAAAGAGGCTGCGATTTCCATTAAGTTGAGAGACCTCACACTAGGGATTGGCCAGAGAACTCTCCCTTTTATTCGAATAAAAGTTTAGTTAGCTCCTCTGTCTCTGGGATATTTTTGAGGCTTATAACAACAGAAACAAACAGGTATATTATTTTTCAGAACAGCACTAAGTGCCACGTCCAGCCTTTCCTTAAACACCTCCAGGGACAGTGACTCCATCACCCCCCTGGGCAACCCATTCCAATGTCTAATCACCCTGTCTAGGAAGAAATTCTTCCTAATATCCAATCTAAACCTCCCCTAGTTGCCTGGGAGAAGAGACTCACTCACACCTGGCTACAACCTCCTTTCAGGCAGTCACAGAGAGTAATAAGGTCACCCCTGAGCCTCCTCTTCTGCAGGCTAAACAATCCCAGTTGCTTCAGCCACTCCTCATAGGACATATGCTCCAGATCCTTCACCAGCTCCATTGCCCTTCTCTGGACTCACTCCAGCACCTCAGTGTCCTTCTTGTAGTGAGGGACCCAAAACTGAACACAGTACTCAAGGTGTTGCCTCACCAGTGCTGAGTACAAGGGAACAATCACTTCCCTGGTCCTGCTGGCCACACTGTTGCTGACGTAGGCCAGGATGCCATTGGCCTTCTTGGCCACCTGGGCACACTGCTGGTTCATGTTTACCTGGTTGTCGATCCTTTGCCAGTCCCTGGCTCCTTCCCCCTCTCTTTGCCCTCCAAACTGCACCACAAGCAGTGGAGCAGCCCTTGGAGAGCCCACCTGCCTGCCTGGCTGCCCAAGGGCTGTGTTCCCCGTGCCACTCTGGCCACTCAGCAGAAATTGCAACTTCCAGACCCACCTGCAGCTGCACATAGCACCTTACCGCCCTACCCATGCACACCAGTTTCCAAACAACTTCCTTGACCACCTCAACACGAGGAAGTTCTTTACATTGAGGATGGCAGAGCACTGGAACAGGCTGCCCAGAGAAGTCATGGAGTCTCCCTCTCTGGAGGCATTCAAAACGCACCTGGACACATTCCTGTGTAACCTGCTCTAGATGACCCTGCCTTGGACTAAATAATCTCCAGAGGTCCCTTCCAATCCTAACTATTCTATGATTCTATAATTTGTATCATGCTGCACCGTGCCTGTATCAGGTGCCGCAGTTCTCCGGCCAGCTTGGCTGTCACTGAGGAGTTCTGGCAACTGAATTTGCATTTCTTGATCCTTTCTAATGTGTGCTATTTGATTTTATCTTTAAAAACATGTACCATAAAATACTAAGGACAAATATTTGTAAAATATTAAGAACAATATTCCTGTCCAGAGTTACAGTCTATCCGCACATTAGCTGTATCAGTTTATGTCTATCAGTATAAGTTTGTCTATCAGTATCACTTTTATGCCTATGAATATATATTTAAAACTCAACAAGAAGATACCTTAACACAAAAACAAATTTCCCCAAAGATAATGCAAAATCTAGAGGCTGATTCAGTCCTGTTCAGCCAGTTTGTTCTTAGCACACAGTAAGCCTTGTCCTTGGTATCAGTTCAGATACCCACATGTGGCTTGTGAGAGCTCCTCAGGAGAATGCCAACTGCCTTCCTCCTTTGGTAGGTACCTGACTGCCTTATCCAAGCACCTCCACTGTGACTACAAAGTTCTTTTGACAGAAAGGCACAATGCAAAAAGCCTGCCCTCCATGGGAAAGGCACTGGCACTCAGGAATCACCAACTGTAATTCTCACTTGTTCTCTAGCTGGGCCTCCATTCCCGTCAGAAACGCACCCAAAGGTCAGGATGGGGCTTCAGGAAATGTTGCTTGCAGAGTGCATTGTGCAAGAAATGGATAACAAAATGTCTGCTCCTGATAGAAGCACAAAGGAAATGCTTAAACTGACTTTTAGTTCTGCAATGCCAGAATTCCTATGTCTTATTCTAGCATTAAATTTCTGTGCAACATTAGAAGGCAAGCAAGTAATTTTCCTAGGCTACCAATTAACTTATTTTTTTAACAAATGTTTTGGAAAATGTTGCTTTAGGGCACTATAGAATAGCTTGCAAACAAAAGTTGATTATATCCTGAATAGTATTGCTAATTCTAAAAATAATGTTTATGATCTTGAAAATATTAAGTGGTTGAAGTTATGCTCTAATATGTTCAGCTGTTTTAAAATACGTAGTTGCTGCAGACACATCTTCAGCGCAACATACCTAATTAAGTAGTGAACTAAAGTGCTTTTTAATCACATCTTAAAAGTGCTGTTTTCAGTGCATTTTCTTTCATCTTTCCTTTATTGGGCATTTATTGGTTTTGACTCATTGTAGCATATTATAGCTATCAACACCTGTGCCCATTTAGGAACGAATTCCAGTACAAATCATAGTGCATTGAATAGACGTCTCAGAGATGCATCACAATTGTCGCAATATATTTAGAAACTCAAACAAGGAAACAAACAACTTCAGTAAAAATGATTTAAATAACAAATAAGTTATCTTTATAAACAGCTTATCTCCTTGAGAACAAAGAATAAACAAGGCAACAAGAGCTGGGTTTTCTTCCATTATTAACTCAGATCACAATATGAATGGGTGAAATGTCAAGATAATTGGAGAAAATGACAGTATAATCTTCAGCAAAAACATCTGATTTATTTAAATTGTCACTGTTTTTTTCTTAACCTTGTTATGCAAGACAGCATAGAAAAACTTCCCGTTTGGTTCTATTCTGACATCTTCTACCTAAGTGAATAAACCCTCTGCAATGCTATGAGCCTTCTATACATGGGTAAACCCTGACATGCCACCGCCCAGTGGATTGCACACTCCGGGAACTCATTGTCCGTTGGCTGTAAGCACTTGGCAAAATGAAGTTTTGGTGTTAACCTAAATGAACAGGACTTTAAAGTACACTTCTGTAGACTACCATGTTAACGTCCTGGGACAGATACAGATCCATTCTGTGGTACACTTGTACCTATGCCTTTGCTCACCTTCAAAAATGTGATATTGCAACCATGTAGAAATTAAATTAGCACTAGTTCAACTGCATTATTAATCTGCCAGCTAGCCAAAAGTATAGGTGGTCTTGAAGAGGAATATAAATCAGGAGTATAATCAAACCACTCCAGGGGTCCTGTCTGGCCTCTAGTGGTATAAACTGCACTGCTTTTAGAAGTCTGGATGTGTTGAACCTTATGGGGACAGATGTGTCCAAGGGTGTTTGGGTCTCTGCCAGACTCCTTCTGAGTTTCTGCAGAAGGAGGGTTGAGTTTACTTGCCTGCAAGACTCCAAGATATTCCCACCATGGGACACATCTTTGGCTCCCAAATACAAATGCACTTTTGATATAGAACTAACCATTCAGCCTCCTCTATGAAAATGAATTTTGTAGCTAGTTTTCATCAACACAGTTTCCATCAAAAGTCATTTTCCTGTCAAAACACTTTAGGGTAAACTTGATATTAACCTCATCTATTTTGAGTCAATCGAATATGCTGTTAATAATCTACATTGCTTATAAAGCCTCAGGTTAATAAATCTGCATAAATATTCCCAAAATTATGGACTTACAGCCATTTTCACTATCAGTTTATAGCTTACTTCTAATAACTCAAACAGCTCAATTTGTTAGAAATTCACTGCACAGTCTTTCAGCTACACAGGCACTACTTGGTGTCTCTCAGAACAGGAGTTCACAATATATGTATGTATGTATATATATAAACATGGCTATTACAAATTATACTTAGAAGCTTAATATTATTATCTGGCAGGCAAGTACACAATGCAGATATTCAAACACCATGTTTCAAAGCACTGGCAGCTACTGCAGGGATCAGGAAGTGATTTTTCCACATAAGGCATTGCACAATTAGTTCAATGCCCTGTGAGTTTTGCCTTATCCTGAGTCAGCATTCCCCACAAGACAAAATACGCCTGTGATGTTTAAAATGTGTTAACCTAGGCACTTGTCAGAAATGCTGAAGAGTCCTAACTGGATAATGGAGAGATTTGGTTTCCTTTCCAATTAAATGTGACTTTTTCTTTTAAAAAAACAAAGAAATAAACAAAAAACTACTGGAGAGGTATTACTTTACAAAATTCAAGAAGTAGTCATCCATTCATAACTGCTTATATGGGTTCATGCTATGAGATTATGGTATCCATATTAATGTTCTGCCAGAAAATCTGTGTCATAGTTGAATAAACAATGTGTAGTAACAAATCTGTGAGTATATAAATGCTTGGTTTCTTGCATCTAATCTTTGGACCTACAAACACAGCTGACCTCTCTCCCTCCAGATTTGAAATCTGGCCCAAAGTTCATGTCAGAAACAGAATTAAAACTTTCTTTTCCATATTTATGCTCACTTTCACCCTGAGAAAAGAACCTTTCTAGCAAGAAGAAACAACTGCAGAGAGCTTGATCACAAAAAACATCTGAAACATGTTACAAAATAAACAAATGCATTTTCTGAGGATTGGAAGAAAACAAGGAGGATCACAAAACTCTGCTTTTCCCCCACTTTCATTCCTTCTCCTTGCCTCATTAGCCAGTGTGGCATGCATGCTTTCAATTGATGTAAGGGGGAGGCTAGTCATAAAGCAGGGCATCTTCCCCTTTGTCTCCCAGATCAGAGGATTTGTATATGACCTCAGTGGGAAAAAAAACAGAAATGGGAGACCTCTTCAAATCACTTTATGTACCAACGCTGTTGACACATGGGCACTATAAGAGTTGCTCCCTGTAGCTTGCCTCCACATGGTTCTCCACCACCAGTTATCCCTGTTAGAAAAAGTAGACAGAATAGTAGTGCTCAGATGGTATGCTGTGAGAAAAGAATTCAACTTGGGCCTCGCTCTTTCCAAATGTACGGTACTGGATATCTTTTTGTTGCTTTGGAACAGATAACGAAACAAGGCTTGGCCAGGAGGCAGAAATATGTTATAGTAAAGACAACACCAGTGCTCTGCTGCATTGTCACGTTTTCAATTAGATGTGGCAGGATAGGTTGTGTAACAAACAAAAGCTTATCCAGATGCATATATATGTGATCTCAGTAGAATTAATGAGTTTTTTCTTGCCTTGCTGCAAGACCGGTTTAATAACGAGTATAATTCAGGTAAGGCTCCCTTTCACTCCCGCTTTGTAAAACTCTTGTCAGCTTAATTTCTGTTTATAATTATAAAGTGAATAGTTGGCAGCTATTAGTGGAAAGAAAGGAAGTAAGGAAGGTGCACTGTAAGGCGGAGAACTAATCATGAAGGAGTGATGACAAGGAAATTCACAGAAAAGTTACCAAGCAAACCACCTACGGCATACTGGTTATGGTGATGGGCTATTTTTGTATCTTGAGTTCATCTCTGCTTTCTGATTATCTTTTTATTAACATAGACAACTGCTAATTAAACTTGCCAGATGTTAACTTTGAGTCTCTCGAACGTGATCTGTGGGCAGCTTGCCATTTTAGCTGCTGCCTACACAGATTTTTGGAAAAAATATCACTAGTTTTTTGTTGGGGTTTTTTTTTTTTTTTAGCTAGACTACAGTCTCATTCTACCTGGATAGTAATGAGCATCACTAGAACTCTTTCGGAAGGCAGGTAGGCAGGAAGGAAGGAAGGAAAATTATATATGTATGTAATCATTGGAAGGCTACTGTTAACAGATAGTAAAAAATTCTGGAAGCTCTCCAAGACAGTGGAGTAATTTGAAATATTGGTGGATTAATACAATTTCTGTTCACTGATGTTCTGGGTGCATCAAGAGGGTAAACATTCCACTACTTTGGGCAACATTTCTTTTATCGTAACACACCGCCTGCCTGATCAGATACCAAAGAAATAAAGACCTTATGTCACGGAAGGGAACAAGTCTATCAGCTTCGTTTCTGCCTTTCCCTCATTCTCTTTTTCCCTTTCTCTCTCAAGTTATTAAAATACTTTTTTAAAATTTTTAATTATTCTGTAAACACAGTTTTCCTTTCCTACCTTTTATGAATGAAATGGGAACAAACAGTCTTTGTAAGCTATGAGGACATAAAATCTAGGCCCGTTGGTTTTATTATTAAATGTGTATCCCTTGTAAAAATGCAGTAAGCCTTAAAAGATTTAAGGCTACTACAGACAACGCTGTCACCTTGATTGCAGCTTGGGTCTGTAACTCAAGACTTTGTTTTCAACACAAAGCTTTTGGTGGGCATCTCCTGCAGCCTACGTTCGCACCTACATGATTCCTTATGCCTCACACGTTGCCCACACTGCATTTCCCGCGCA